TTTGGAGAGTGTCAAGGGTGGAATCTAACTAAATATCAGTCCTTTTCGCACAAGACTTTTTTTTTTGTTTATGTTGTTTTGTTTTGCTTTGTTTTGTTTTTAATTAGGACCTAACTTCACAAAAATTTTGTTTACGTCATTCTTAAATAATTGAGTTAGCTCATTTGAAAAATAAACAAAAAGGTCCTCTATCGACTCTCTTCGCTAGCCAAACCAATGAATTTATTTCGTTACTGGTTGCCGTGTCCACCCCCATCTTCTAAGCCGACTAGTCAATCCTTTTTGCACAAGTCTGCTCAGGCACATGTACGTTTGTTCAAAACACACAGTGTCCACTAACAATGCGTAAGTTATGGTTGATGGAAGAGAGCGTATACTTTGTCGTAATCAACAGATTTAACGAGGCGAGTACTCTAAAACCCTCGGTCAAGATGACTTGCGAATTTGTGCTCGCATAGCCACATAATTGCATTAAATGAAATTCTGAATTAATATTTCGATTATTTTGAAAATATTAGATTAATCCGAATACAGTTTTTCTCGTGAGACAGAGGCTTGTAAAAATGACCCCAATATATTCCCGAAACTACTTATGGCTTGTTACCACTCGTTTCCAAGTACATCCGTCTCTAATGGCGGCTAGAAAATCCCTATTACCGATACCTGCTTAACTGTGGTTTATATTGCAAGTAATCTAATCGGGCCTCTTTTACAATTACTGGGAGAGGGCGCATAATCTGGCATGTTCATTTTTTAAAATAAAGTTAAAACGCTCAAACCCTCGCTTACGATGACTTTTGACTTCATGCTAGCACAACTATCGATGGTTTCTGAATGGCTCATTCTACCCAATTATATTCACTAGGTTTGGGTTAAACCATGGCATGGTTTTCAGATACTTTCCAAAGGTAGGTGAGATCGCCTTCCCAGGTTGATATTATCAAGAAATCACCTCCATGACTATGGTGAGATTCGAACCCGTGTCTCATGGCCAGAAAGGTGTATCAAAATAAGATTATAATTTTCTGTTTGTTTCGCGAAACTATCAAGAATGCCTTCACATGACCCTTAAACTTAAGTAACACTCTAGGCAACGTGACAAAAAAAAGCCCTCGTGTTAAATAATAGTTTAGCAGACTTATTTTTAGCGGAAATTTACCTCAGCAGTGACTTCCGGATGTTGACTTACGAGGTCATATGCAAGCCAAAATAAGGATGTCGATTTTGATTGGCTGAGCTAGCGTGGGAATGATAGATAATTTTTTAGAGAGTTGGTTCTTGCACGTCAAGCAATGTAGACGTGTTAACTGTCATGTCTGAAGCGGCTCTACATTGAGGGGATGGTTGCTTTCAAAAATATGATTCATTATCCGGTGTATCCGATCAACACAAGCCCCGTAATAACAATTCAACAATACACGTCTATCTCAGGAACTGAGTAACTAATATATCTCTACAATGCAGTCAATTCTTAGAAACCTATATTAAATAATAAATAAATGTAATGCCACCCTTCACCAAGGCCTCTGGTCAGGATTTTTTCAGGAGCGGGGAAGCATTTCTTAATTACTGTTGTTCCCAGGTCCATCCTGAACCAGGTTGGTAGTACCAGATAGGATCCCAGCTATGGGCAAATAAACCCAAACTGGAGTGAAAACACCACGAAAATATAAAAATAAATTTTTATAATTAAAATGGCAGCAATACATTTTTGGAAATAAATATTACCAGCAATATGAGTTATAAAAATGTACTGGTGATAATTTTCTTAAATCGATATTTATTGGTGTTAATTTCACTACGAAGATGTGTTGTTGGTCATTGTTTCTTAGAAATATATATTACTGATACTTTTACTATCAAAATTTAGTTTTTATAGATACCTAGTATTTATTTGGAGATTCACTAATTTCCCATACATGGGAGTCGAACAGGCTCCACAACCCTGGAGCACGAGGGACCTAGGAACAAAAGCAATTAAAAGGTTGTGCTAAAGCAATCCTTGAATTTCATGCAATTCCCAGACAAATTTAGAAATTGTCCACGGGTGGCATTAGTTTATTTTGTTTTACGCCATATCAACCTCAATATGTCAATTAATACCGACAAGATTTTTAGGATAGTTTTATAGGAATAAAATATTTGTCAGAAATCAGTTTTAAAATCAGGTTTTATTGACGTAAAGAGGGATTTTGTCGAGAGTGTATGCAGGTGGGTCACTATTGAAAAGAGCTCATCGGGGAAGATGCTATGAAAATATTTATAGAATAGACAGAGAAAAGTGACATTAGGCCGGAGAGAAAGTGACTGGAGTGGAGACCCCAAAAAGCAGTTTTGTTGGTCTCTCGTGCCTTACACATAATAATCAAGGTTGTTGCAGTCTGGGGATCTAGGTGGCCACATAGGAGGAGTGATGTGGTTTCAGAAAAAGTCTAACAGCCATGACTGGGTTATCCTGCTTCTGTGGCATGGTGCAGTGTCCTATTGCCATACATACATTACAGCAGCCACTTTCTTGACCCAAGGTAGTACTAACTCATTAAGACCCTTCATGTTGCCCTCAACAACAAATTTGGGAGTTCTTTTCTTAACAGAACGATCAGAGTGAGTTTTTCAAGTTGTCGTACGTTCGTAATCACCATTAGACTCATCCAACTCTTTCTGAATCCTCTGCACTGTCCTCAGATTGACACCGAAATGTTCGTATTGTAGCTTCCGGCGCGAAGACCAAAAAGTACAGCATGCCGTTTCCAAATTTTTGGCTGAGTGAATTGCGTCATAGTGATCTTTTTTTTTCTCACAGATGGTGCCCAACTGACACTACTATACTGTTCAGTCTACAAAATAAAAAAACAACGCGCATGCGCGAAATTAAACATAAAATGGCGACAGCTTACCCATCGCACCCTGTATGTTAACTATAAAAAAATGTCTTAGGAAAGGACTTGCTGCTACATACAACTAACAAGAAATGTCGTTTATATATCGACAATAAACTTGTAATGACGCATTATCCATCCACGACACGTCTCTACTATTCTTATTAAAACAACCAATCGAAAGCGAGAATGGAAGCAGACGATACCCATTTCGCAAGAAAACCAGATCAAAGGATTAAATGGAACACATGAAAGCAATTAAAGTGACGGAAATGATTTCGGTACCTGATGTAGTAATGGCCACCAAAATCCATAAAGTGAACGTACACAGCTGAGACCCGGCCGGAAATGGAAAGACATAATATTTGCTTTTCTATCAGTCATTTGTCGAATAGGTACTTAGCTGGTTTGATACGTTACTTAGTATTCAGTGAACTATCTTGGCTCTAGAAGCCGAATACATTTTCATTCGGGAAGCCTACAACAGGAATATAACCAAGGAAATGGCTGAGAATACGCTGGACCGATACCGGATAAAGTTCGGATGACAGAGAAAAATAAGCGGACTCGATACATGGGTGCCATTAGTAAAGACAAGGGGCACTTCGACGTCGTACATTAGTTAGCAAGATTGTCTCACTAGATCAATTACCACTGAGTTCAATACTCACTGGGTGTCCCATAATTTCGGCTTTGTGCCACATCTAAGCTACTCTTAGTAAATCGCTATTAGTAAAGAAAAGTGGTATCTATAAGCTATGCTTTCACGGGTAGTATTTATTTTTAAAATATTGCAAAGCGTTAACGAAATTTAATTATTCTGCCCTGTTGGAGAGTACATGAATATTTCGACTACATTCTCCTTGCAAAGAGGTTTACTACCCTTCCTAATTGAGTTCATCGACCAAGAAAATGCTTACCGGCCAAAATATAAATAAAAATTATTTAGCTATCCACAAACGAAATACACAGTTATAGACTCCAATATGAATTACTAATACTTATCTGACCCAGTACAATTAAATACTAACAAACACAAATATCAACGATTAGTATTTACCTATCGTCGAACCGAGAAAAAATGCTTACGTACTAAAATACAAATAAAGAATATTTAGCTATCCACAAATCAAATACATAGTTATAGACATAAATATTGAATTACCAATATTTATTTGACCCAAATGCTTACAGACTAAAATATAGTTACGTACTAAAATACAAATAAAGAGTATTGAGTTATCCACAAAGCAAATACATAGTTATAGACATAAATATTGAATTACTAATCTTTATCTGACCCAAATACAATTAAATGCTTACAGTTTCAAATATCAACGACCAGTATTTACCTATCCTCTAACCGAGAAAAATGCTCACTTATTAAAATACAAATAGAGTATTTAGCTATTCACAAAGCAAATACATAGTTATAGACATAAATATTTAATTACCAATATTTACCTATCCCAATGCAATTACAGGCTCTAATATACACAAACCAATTCCGAACCAAATACGGGCTTATAGATGCAAACATATATGACCATTATTCACTTATTACATTCGACGTAAGTGCTTATTTACTTTAAGTGATCCGTATTAACCTATCTCATAAGTAAATCGACAGTGAAACTAGCTAAATACTTATAGACTCAAATATAAGCGATTAGCATTTACATAATATTTTATCAGATATAATAATATGACACCGAAATCTGAAGACCCATTACGATAGCGAAAGATGCCTTCCAAAAGCTAAGAAAAGTATTAAGAAAGAGCAAAATTTCATTAGAAACAAAAGAAAAAATAATACCGAACTGTGGTTCTAGGACAGTTACCTATTGGAAACTTTCGTCCTGGACAATTGCGTACCAAATAATTGCATCCCTGGACATTTGCGTCCCTGGACATTTGCGTCCCTGGATAATTGCGTATCTGTGATAATTTTTGAAGCTTTTAAATGCAATTACCATAAATTTTGAAAAAAAAACATAGGTAGTAATCAAGAATTATAAAATAGGAATAAAAGCATTAAAATTTAAAAAAATAAAGTTTATTTTTCTTTAAAATGCAATGACATATAAACAGTGTTGCATGATCGTTCTACACATCGCCAGTATGTTTTTGTTTCATCGGCGTTTTTCTTGTGGTAGTGGTAGCTGTAATTTTTCTCATCCACAAATATTCTTCCGTATGTCTTCGATTTTCGGAACTTAGCCATGGGTTCTAATTAAAAATATAATCTAAAAAATCCAGAATCTATTAGATGTCTCTGGTACTCACTGCTGGATGATCTGAAACTGCTAGCTTAATTTTCTCTTGCTTTAAAAATTAAATTTTCTCTATTTTTTTTATTTATGGTAGCTACTTTTAAGCTTGTTTAGAGTAATTAAAGGTATTAGTGTGCAAATTTCTATATTAAGCAACTTCAAAATATGGTAACTTCAAAAACTTATCAGAGGTACACGATTATCCAGGGACGGATTGGTCTAACGGACGCAAATGCCCATATCCGCAATTGTCTGGTACGCAATTCCGCGGGATGCAAATGTCCAGGAGGTAACTGTCCGTCCTCCTTGAACTGTTATATAATATGCGTCTTCCCGAATGGCACTGAATGCTGAACAATCTTCTAACAGATGATAAAGAGACTTATGGTATCAAAAATGTAGTTTGAACGAAGGATGCTTACAATAACATGGTTTGAACACGTGAGCAACAAAAATTTTTCAGAGAAAAATTGAAACGAAAAGGACACTCAAACTGAGATTCTGAAAGCGAGAAGTGAAATGTCTAAAGCACATAATGAGAAAAGATTTCATATATTGAACACAAGAGGGATAGATGGATAGCAGTGAACAACTTAACTTAATTGATGGAACAGAAATTAGGTTAGATAGCAAAAAACACACTTTACTAAGTGTCATGGGTCCTTACCTATAACTACAGAATGAACTCTACCTAACACTATGTATACTACGCCTCTCAAGAGAGAGGGACGAATCGAACCGAGCTTCTCGGCTTGACGATCGAACTCTCTGCCTCTGAGCGGAGAGGAACCTGAAGGGCAGAGTCTCGTTCGGGGAGGTTGACCAACCCGATCCCGTTTATACGGGTTCTACGGGCATTTTTTGGCCGAGCCTACGGGCTCGGAAAACCCGCGTAAAACTCGGCCTTGTTCCACATGCAACCCTCGTGGGGGGCAAGTAAATATCGCATCCAGTCGAGCCGTTTCGGCTTGACGTTCAAACTCTCTGCCTCTGAGCAGAGAGAAACCCGGACGAGGCTCAACCGAAGGGCAGAGTCCGTTCGGGGAGGTTAACCAACCCGATTCTGTTTTTACAGTTTCTACGGGCATTTTTTGGCCGAGCCTACGGGCTTGGGAAACCCACGTAAAACTCGCCTTTGTGCCACATCTTTCCCTCGTGGGGGGGGGAAGTAAATATCGAATCGAGTCGAGCCGATAGTAATTCACTCCAAACCAGACTGACAGTCATACTAACACCTTCCACATCTTGTATTATTATTTTGTGTAATATACCTTCGTTATTTCTACTCTTGTCTTCGTGTTGTTCTTCCTTGGTCCTAACCTGGACCATAACACTAAGAGTTACAAAGTGGTGAACAGCTATGACCTCCCACATCCTGAAGGGACACTGCACATAAAAGAAGAATATTTCACCAATTCTCGCTATCTTTCAGACACCGTCACTTTACCATTCTCACACAAATTGGCATCGGTCTTGAACTGGTTCAGAGAATTGAAGTGAATTTTGTCATAATCGAACTAAGTGGTTATCGGAGAGTGCAAGGTCAGGCCAGTTGATATGAGAGTTTCACAAGCGAGAAGTGCGAGAAAAGAAACTATTGCAATAGGACTTACGGTTATATCTAGCTAATTCGTCTGTAAACTGATGATGCCCTTGTTGTCAATCTAGTACCGCGCTTAAATTCATAAAAACTACGTACCATAGAGGAAAGTTCGTCAGAACAATTACCATGAACGTATTTAAAGAATAGGCACAGAGAAGCTATATTATTTCAGTGGGAAAGTAACTACAGCCGAGATGCCAGATTCGGACCAATAATATTGCTGATTTGTCTTTGGATTTGGAATCTCTAAATATATAGCAGCAGCATGGGACTATATGCGCAAGCAATATTCTAGGCATGGTGAAATGGCAGAGTTATAGATATGCAAGATAGATTCTGGAGAGAAAATTGCCTAGCACAACACAGTGCACCAACCTTCTTAGCAGATGAGCTAACAAAAGATGTGGTGTTTCCACTTCATGTCGGCCAAGAATGTTAACCGAAGAAGGCGCAACGAGACACTCTCCTGGAGCGTGCTGATAGAAGGTAGAATTGGTTTTCTCAGATGATTAATAGAGAGCCGTGTAGTTTTGGAAACGCTACAATTAAAAAGCCAATCTTTGCCCCAGGTGACAACAGACTGTAGGTCGTTTAGGACAACAGCCGCCAATTTAACCTTGTCGAACAGATTAGACTTAGTATCGAGACAAGAAAAAAATGGTTGTGTCATAAGCATAAATACCAAGTTGACAGCTGATGCCATCGAAAAGATCGTTAATGAAAATCGAAAACAAAATAAGAACAAACTCTTGGGGACATCAGCATTAGAACAAACATATCTAGAAGAGTGGCCGTTAGGGATAACTTTCATTTCACGGTTTGATAAGACAGACTGAATCAATTCAAAAATTCGCCCGAAGAACGCTATAAATTATTTACCTTCTGAAGAAGGCGAATATGCCTGTCGAAATTTCACCGCGTTCTGGTATTATTTATAATTGCTCTTATTTGAGTGAATTTTCCTTAAAACTTCGTCGTTTTTGGACATCCTTCATTCACGGTATAACGGCGTCCTTCCGTTGAACCAGATATCTGTCCACTCACGTCTCTTCTTCGTCATCATAATCATCATCATCAGTCCCTTGATTAATTTAATCATTGTAGAGACCTATGGGTAGAAGAAACTGCCAACTTCCTCCAGTATAGTCTGTTGGCGGTGGCTCTCAGGAGTTCCAGCATGATCAGGTCACACCACTCTGAAATTTACTCTTGCGTTGCTGCCCGCGCTTGCGCCCGCCTTCAACAGTGCCTTGCATGATGGTCTTCCATAGATTGTAATGCCGTGTGACGTGGTCAAACCATGACATCTTCAGACGCTTCATAGTGGGGAGGAGAGATTCCTGACGGCTCACGAGTCATTTATCCTTGCTCTGTACATAGTTATTGGTTTTGTGCTCCCAGTAGGCGATGCGGAGGAGCTTTCTCAATCATCTCGTATTCACATGTGCGGAAATTGTCCAGCATTCACTACCATATTGACATTGCATTCAACATACTTTTCTTTGTTTCTAACGAGATTTTCTTGTTTCTTAATATGTTTTTTCTTTGTTTCTAACGAGATTTTCTTGTTTCTTAATATGTTTTTTCTTTGTTTCTAACCAGATTTTCTTGTTTCTTAATATGTTTTTTCTTTGTTTCTAACCAGATTTTCTTGTTTCTTAATATGTTGATATTTAAAACCTGGCCATTTTTGTTTGTCCGTTACTTTATGAAAGACATTTCTTAAATTCCGAATATTTTTTCTTAGACCCTTTATCCACGAAAGTGCTTTTAAAAAACGTTTGCATATTCTCCAAATAAATGTAGTTATTGCAAAATAAATCATATATCGATGACATGAAACAATTTTTTTTTTCATTTTTTTTTTATTCAATAAAAATATGAACGCATTAAATATATCAGCCATTTTGTTCGTGGAACTTGGAAATCGACTTTCCAAAGGTTAAAAAAGAATTACTTCACCCTATATCAAGATGGATCTTTGGTTATTAGAAAAGATCTCTAACCGACAAGATGAACTGAATGATATTAAGGTTATACATCGATATCTTTCGCATACTGCAAAAAAATACAATTTGCTTGCTCTTTAGCAGCCATATTTACATCGACAGTCAGTTTCTAACGTAGAACTGTATATTATCTATAGAAAACATATCGATTATTAATGGACCAGGCCATATGAAATTACTATTGATAACCGCATGCGTCGTTGTTTGTCTGCGAGGCGATGGTTTTCACGTTGACATATTTGACAGAGCTGATCATAAAAAAAGATGGAGAAATTAAAAGAAAGCTATTGAATAACCGAAATATTAGCGATAGATGGTATTAGGAGTGTTTAGTTTTAAGCAAAACTTTTAGATGGAAAGACAGTCGGTAATATATCAAACATATTAAGTTTTTTGTATGCTTAGAAAGATATACCAGTGACTTGTGAGAAAAAAAAACGATTTTTGTATTTTTTTTACCATAAATAAATCGATAAAATGTTATTGAGGTGAGGTTGAAGAACAAAAGACCAGGATTCATTGCAGCCAAATTTTGGAAGATCGTAATTGATAGGAAAGCAAGAAGCCGGAAAAGATTTCCAGAAGGGAGACGTGCAAGAAAATGAAATATTAGTACATGGTTACATCTAGAAATTTCAATAGCAAAATAAATGAGACCGAGCTGCCAATCTAGTACTGCACTTAAATTCGTCAAGTCGACTTGGCAAAAAGGAAAATTCACCAGGACAATTAACATCAAAATATTTATGGTAAATTACGTTACGACTGTGGGGAAAATAACTGAATTCAAGATAGTGGAGCAGTACCGATAGCATTGGAGATTCTTTACTGGATTTTGTCTAGAATATCTTGATTCATAGCAGAACTACCAGATCAGATGTAGCAATTTATTGAGAAGCTACTAGCTTAACCCTTTATCGACAGAGAAAGTGAAATCGGAAAGCCGTGTTAAAAGTCTCGCCTGCTATGTTCACTTCTTCACAAATCCATTGAAAAAGGCAAAGATCGATTTCATCTCCCAACATCTATGGGTTTATTGTGAGACCGGAACTACCTACACAATAGACTCTTCCAGGTCTATATTAAGTATGCGACACAACACTCTACACTGAGCGACAGAGAGATAGAGACAGCCGCGTACGACTACCAGTATTGGACAATAACATATAGTTAGCTCCGCTTACACTGTCTTTATAACCTGTTGTTAAAATATATCTTTCTTACATCTAATCCGTGTTCCGTGTTTTCCTTCTGTGGTCCCGACTTTGGCCCCACATCAGTGGCGATGAGGATTCAAGAGACGCACTCA